TTATCTCCAATCCCAACCTCATCTCAGACCTCCAGAATTACATATCCAATGGCCTACCTGAACCTCCTCTTGGATGCTTATTCATCAATTTTTAAGTGTATATTCTTATCTTTTATTTCAATGGACCAATATCAGTGCTTGTCTTGACACAAGATGAGAAATTCTGGCTAATGTGTACAGTTCAAATGCAGGTTAGTCTCATTCTGCTATGGGAAAATAAAGTAAATTCCCCTGGTATATTTAATAACTACATATATACATTTTTATATTTTAATTTCTTCTAGGTTTTCATATGGAGATAACTGCCTTCACTGAAAACTTTGGTATTACTAAGGAAATCTAACATTGTCTACGAGATCAATTTAAATATGGGACACATAATTTAAAAATTACAAGAGAGATTTCCATCTTTTAATAAAAAAGGCAGTGGAGAGTAATTAATGTTAGCTCTTCTTTGAGATAAGTTATAAGACCTGTCATTTCTACCTTCTTCTTAATGGCAATAAAGGTCATTTGTGTTCCAAGGACATTTTTCAGGATTATCAAAGATCTACACTGGCTTTTTCTGCCCCCGGGTAATGTCTTTCTTCTTATCACATCCATGTAAGAGAATTGTGTGGTCTGACATATCTTCAATTCAGATTCAGATCAGTCTTGAGCCTGTCAAACTTTTCAATGGTATATCTCGAGGTATACTTTTGAACCAAAATCTTCTTGCCTTTCTTAATGCAACTATTTTAATTTAGTTCTCTAATTATGCTTATTAGAATTTCCTACCCTCAACTGTTTAGTTTCTTAGCTCACCTAAAATATGAAAGAGCCAAAACAGAACCCCTTTACTTTCTTTGGGGCTCATCTCAAAATTCAGATTAAAAGAAGCCTTCCCAGACTATACTATTTAAAAAGAGCACCTCCTCCCCCACCCCCACCCCCACTCCCATTATTATCTGTTCCCTTCACCTGCTTATCTTTCTTCAAAGTATTTAGCACCATCAGAACTATATTCTATTCTAGGGGCACCTGGCTGGCTCAGTCAGTGGAGCATGTGACTCTTGATCTTAGGGTCATGAGTTCAAGACCCTCGTTGGATGCAAAGATTACTGAAATAAATTAATTAAAAGAAATATATTGTATTCTATATATTTCTTGCTTTATATCTTTATTTTTGGCTCCTCTTACTAGAATATGAGCTTTATGAGAGCTAGATATCATTACTATACTCTCAATGCCCAGAGAAATGCCTATCACAGAGGAGGAACTCAATTAACATTTGTTGAGTGGACTTGTTAATGAAATAAACAATTATTTGATTTCCTACTACAGAAGAAGCCATTCTGGAACAGTGAAAAGGTAGTATAACTTCTATTCTCTGCCTTCGGGAAACTTACAGTATAACTGGTAGGAAACTAAAATAATAAATAACACAAATGATGCCAGAACCGATATCTAAAAGGCAGTCCAATTATAAGTAAATATCTGGCAAACCTCGAAAATGCTATGAATTTAGAAAATAATATTATGATGAACTATACTGGGCAAGAAAAGTTTCAAGGGCAGCATGACTGGTGCCTAAAAATAAGCAAGATATTAGTAAAACGATTTTAAGCTCAGACTGTAAAAATAAAATTGTACTACATTAATTAGGGAAAGTGAGTCAACAGGAATAATGGAACATATATTTAATAAGGTTCAAGTTTGGGGCACCTGGGTGGCTCAGTGGGTTAAGCCTCTGCCTTCGGCTCAGGTCATGATCTCAGGGTCCTGGGATCGAGCCCCGCATCGGGCTCTCTGCTCAGCAGTGAGCCTGCTTCCTCCTCTCTCTGCCTGCCTCTCTGCCTAGTTGTTCTCTCTCTCTCTCTCTCTGTCAAGTGAATAAATAAAATCTTTAGTAAAAAAAAGTAATAAGGTTCCAGTTTGAAGACAAGTTGAGAGAAACCTTGAATTACATACAAACTAAAGAATTTGGACATGACAAATCACATGCAATTTTGCTAGCATAATCTTGTCAATAGACTGAAAATGATTATTTACATATTTCTTGAAGGAAGATGGTTAAATTAGTTAGCAATGACATTTGGAAGACTGTGTTCACAGAAAACTAGGACTCGAAACAATTTTTCTCTTTAGTATTTTCTCTTCAAATGTTTTTTCCTCACCATTGAACTTATAAGGGCCCTTTTACGGTCAAATGTTTTTTGCTCAATATTATTATGAACATCACCAGAAAAGCTCATTATTTTTCAAATTTAGTTGTACTAATTGTTTACAAAAATATCACTAAGTATAATCAACAAAAATTAATTTCAAGTGCTTAGTCAACAAAGTTCTGTCTTACTTGCCTCCAGCCAGATTTATAAATGTAGTAGTTTCTGGAAAGTCTGAATGCTTTTCTTCCTTAGCTTTTTCATACTTGTCAAAGGTCAATGTTTTCAGTTGTTGAGTTTCATTAAGTCTAAGGTAATTAGAGAAACTCTCCAGATCCCTCTTATGGCAGGGATTGCTATTGCCCAGACAAATTGCATTCACCTTTTCCTTAGCACAAGAAACCTGATTTGTTCAGAGGAGCAATGAGTCCACCTACAAACCCTCACTTCTTCAGCTTCCTTGCAGCTAGTTTGGTCATGTGACATAGTTCTGGTCAATGAGACACAAAATGGGTGTTTCTGGGGAGGCTTTTGCTTTCCTAGAACTCAAAATAGCAGTTTGAATTTCCTCCAACCTAGCATGGGGAATGCCTAGATGTTTAACATCCATCTTTTAACCACAAGTAACAAAAATGAGAATGAGGATCTATAAGCACAGATCCAACACAGAGTAGTATATAAATATAAATATGTATGTGTGTGTGTATACATATTTGTTTGAAACTTTGTTTTTTAGAGTAGTTGTTTTAGGTTCACAGTGATTTCTCATATGCCCCCTAAAACTCCACACATGCATTACTTCCCTCATTATCAACATCCCCCACCAGAGTGGTACATTTGTTACAATTGATGAATCTACTTTGACATGTAATGATCACCCAGAGTCCTTAGTTTACATTAGGGTTCACTCTTGGTGTTGTATAGTTTATGGGTTTGAACAAATTTATAATGACATGTATCCACCAAAAAAAAACAAAACAATAAAAGATGTTAGGATTTATCCCCAAAATTTGTGTAAGCAGAGAGGAGATAAGTATGGGGACTGGTATAAAGGAAGTTTACATTATGCATTTATAGGTATTGTGCTAGGACCTGGACAAAAATGATCAGTGAAGATGACAAAGGATGACAGGGAAGATGCCACAGAATTTAATGACATTAGGATTGGGTATGAGAAGGTGAGGAATTATAAATGTTAAGATTTTAGGTTCAGGTTGTAAATCAGTGGAGCCATTGGCAAATAAGTACAGCTAGAGCTAATTTAAAAGGAGGTTATCAAATTTAGGATCAGACATTTGAATTTGAAGCAGATTTTCATGAAAATATTTCCAGCAGGAAGCTGCAGATATTTGACTAAGATTGAAGTAAAGCCAGTATTGGCGTTATCCAAGGAGAAAGTTTTAGCCCAAGGTTTTTGTATGAGGTACAATATTGTAAGTTAAATGCCAAATCCAGAAAATAAGAAATTAGAGAATAAAAATTACCTCTGGGTAATAGTTACCCAGAATTTTACAGAGAATGATAAAAGTAAGTGAACCTTAGACCTGGATAGTAGTGGTAGTGATCTCACAAAGTCTATAGTTCTTTGGCATACATGGAATATTAACTAACTTCCATGTGTCTGCATATGGGGGATTAGAACTACCTCCTAAAGTGAAAGCATTGGCAAAACATGAGAGTCAATCAAGTCAATACAACCTTACTAAGTGCCCTAGTTGGTGTCTAAAACTATACTTGGAATTATGGAATATACCAAAGCAGTACTTTACAATTATCCCTGATGCTGAGAGTTTTTTTAAAATCTGGTTAAACTCTGGAAAATGGTATGGAGGTTCCTCAAAAAGTTGAAAATAGAGCTACCCTATGACCCAGCAATCGCACTACTGGGTATTTACCCTAAAGATACAAATGTAATGATCTGAAGGGGCACATACAACTGAATGTTTATAGCAGCAACGTCCACAATAGCCAAACTATGGAAAGAACCTAGATGTCCAAAAACAGATGAATGGATAAAGAAGATATGGTATATGTATAAATAGAATATTATGCAGCCATCAAAAGAAATGAAATCTTGTCATTTGCAATGATGTGGATGTAACTAGGGGGTATTATGCTGAGTGAAATAAGTTGATCAGAGACAGACAATTATCATATGATCTCTCTGATATGAGGAATTTCAGAGGCAGGGCGAGGGGGGTTAGAGGGTAGAGAAGGACAAAATGAAACAAGATGGGATTGGGAAGGAGAAAAACCATGAGAGACTCTTAATCTCACAAAACAAACTGAGGATTACTGAAGGTGCGGGGGGGATAGGGTGGGATAGGGTGGCTGGGTTATGGACATTGGGAAGGGTATGTGCTATGGTGAGTGCTGTGAAATGTGTAAGCCTGATGATTCACAGACCTGTACCCCTGGGGCAAATAATACATTGTATGTTAATAAGAAAAAATCTGGTTAACTATGTGCGATTATCAGTTAATTACGCATATTTTTGCAACACATTCTACATTTGCAATGTTCTTTAAAAAAAAAAAACTAGCTCTGATGAAAGCAGAATTTTAAAATGTTGAAATACATCAAGTATGTAATGAAAACCAAAAGAGAAATTAGAAACTGAGTCATAGAGAAATACATGAAAATCTTATTAAGTTGTATTTCAAAATAAAGTTTATCTAAGGTACAGACATATCTGGAATGCAACAGCAACAACTTCCTAAGATTTAAATCATGAGTGTGATGAATTTGTAAAAATCATCTTCCCAATATATGAAAATAAGAAGGGAAAAAAGCATAATCTCATTTGCTTTGTTATGTTCCATCCTCCTAAAACATTGGTAATACAGTATAGGAAATTCAACTTTTGAATCCTTTAGAGATTTCCCACAATAACAGATTCAGAATTTTCTTCAGTGCCTCCTTCATATCTTTGTTCCAGAAGTTGTAAATCAGGGGATTAAAGAATGGAGTTGCCAAAGCATAGAACAAGGTCACAAATATCTGCATCCCAGGATAGTCCCCAGAACCTGGACTAACATACATCACCATGACTGACCCATAAAACAGACACACCACAGCAAGGTGGGAGGCACAAGTAGAGAAAGCCTTATGACTTCCTGAGCCTGGGGGTACTTGCAGCCCCACACTCAGGACACAGAAGTAAGTGCCAAGGATATATAGGAAAGTGAGAAAGATGATGAGAGAGCTAATGATACCACAGATCAAACTAATTCCAGATACTAAAGAACAGGACAATGCCAGCAAAGGGGCAAGATCACAAAGAAAATGGTCAATGGTGTTTGGACCACAGAAAGGCATCTGAGATATTAGAGTCAAAGGAGTCAGTAACCAGAGAAAGCCCCCTGCCCAACAGAAGACCACTAACCAAGCACACAGGCAGTGGGTCATTATGGTGGGATAATGCAAAGGTCTACAAATGGCAAGAAATCTATCAAAAGACATCACTGACAGAAATAAACCTTCAGCGGCACACATGGAGAAGAAGAAGTAGAACTGGAGCAGGCAGCCAGCATA